TATTTACTAGATATAGGGTAGTCTGGTATATATAAGAGGGGGACAACGTGACGGAATGTAATGTGTGTGTAGATAGTGAGTAACTTAATTAACTTTCCGTAACTTCGTTTCCGACGAAACTTTAGCGACACAAGTCCTTACTTAATAAAACTGGTTTATTCTTTCCGAATACAACTTTACGATACACTTAGTTTCAATATTCGCGCTAAAACAAACACTATAACGAACGAACGTTAACTTCAACAATACCCTGTGACTGCAGTTCACTTTTTCCTCCAACAACTGCTGTAATCTCTCTTCTTGTTTATTTTCTCGTTCTTCTTGTTTCTTTTGCTGCTCTTGTATTGCTGCCATCAAGTCTGCTGAGCTGTAGTTTGATTTTCCGCCTCTGGTTTCCATTTTTTTTGTCCCACTCTCTGACACCAATTTGTTTCGTCTCCGTTCGTTAGTTAATTTTCCGTAAAAATTATTTCCGAAGAATTTTACCGATACAAGTCCTTTCTTAAATAAAACTGGTTTATTCTTTCTGAATACAACTTTGCGATACACTTAATTTCAACAGTCGCGCTATAACAAACGCTATAATTCACAACGACCATCTCACGTGCTCAACAATATTCTCTCTCCGCAGTTCAATTACACATTATATTGGCCCCGTCACGTTGTGACCGTCTTATATATTTTTACGTCTCCGTTTCCTTCTTGTTTCTTTTAGAGACAACAGCAGTTGCAAGAAAACCTACAACAATGGCAGCTCGAACAGCAAAATAAACAAGAGAGATTATAGCAGTTATTGGAGGAAAAAGAAAAGAAACAAGAAGAGAGATTACAGCAGTTGTTGGAGGAGAAAGAAAATAAACAAGAAGAGAAATTACAGCAGTTGTTGGAGGAAAAAGAAAATAAACAAGAAGAACGAGAAAAGAAACAAGAAGAGAGACGACAACAGTGGCAAGAAGTACAAATGGAAAACATTAGTAAATTTAAAAGCGAATTAGATACGTTAAAGGACGACTTTTTGTCTTTTACACAAGGAGGATACATTGACCATCAGCTTAATCAGCCCCAGACAATGGCAAGCCCCTTACAGAGCCCGCAGCTAAACCCTAATGCAGACATATTCAGTCCCGTTAGAAGTCACATCCCAGATGTGAATGTCAGTAATAGGAGTGATCCAGTGCGAAGGAAGCCACAGGAATATGATGGGAATGCACCGTGGGAAGCATATAGAGCACAGTTTGAGCTACTGGCAGAGATGAATGGATGGACAGAGGAGCAGAAAGCTGTATATCTGGCAAAGAGCTTGAAGGGACAACCACTGGAAATACTTGGACAGTTGACAGCAGCCGACAGACACAACTATAGAACACTGGTGTCGGCTCTAGAACTCAGGTACGGAACCCAAAACCAGTCAGAAGTCTACAGGGCCAGGTTCAGGACGAGAGTCCGTGCTAAAGGGGAGAGCCTGCAAGAGCTGGCACAGTATGGCTTCTGGTACTCCTTTGTGATCTAGCACCTTGATACTCACAAGGGTTTGCTGAGATGCAGAATCTATGACAAAGTTGCCCTTTTGGCCATCCAGCTTTCCTTTCACGTAGACACTATGTGTGCTTGGTATTTTTACACTTAGCTGTTGGGACTTTCACGATGGGGGTTGGTAGGTGTCCCTCAACACGAACCACTACTGGTTTCCCTGAGGCTGACTTATTGGTAGTATTCTTCTTACACTGGCTCTTCAAATGTCCTTGCTCTCCACAGTTCCAACAACCTTTCTGGATAACAGCCTTTCCTGCCATGGTATCTTCCCTGTGTTGAAGCTGCCGGCATTGAGCTCTCTTGTGCCCAGGTTTGTTACAGTGCCAGCAAAGTCCCTCAAACTTCTCTGAAAGCTGCCCTTTTCTTGCCTTGAATCCTGATGACTGTACCAACCTTGGTACCTCTCTGATGGACTTAACGTAGGATTCAAATTCAAGAACTCTGGCCATTGCATCCTGCATAGTAGAGGAGTGTGCTTGCTTCACTTGTATCTTAAGTTGTAGACTGTCCAAGGCATCTACGAACTGATCCCTCAGCAACAACTTGAGGAGATTGGGTGGTGCAGTTGGGTAGGCCTTGTGTGCCATGCTCTCCAAGTCCAAGAAGCTCTGTGGTGTGACAGGACAGTATGCAAGGTTGTGTAGACCAGTGTGGGTAACTATTGAGCTCATGGGCATAAAGACAGACACAAAGTATACTTGGCTGACATCGAAGACCCATGCATAATAGGGTTGGACTACTTACTACTAACGAGGAAGTGTGTAGTTAACTTTGATAAAATGATGTTAAGAACAACAAAGGCCAAATTCCGGTAAGTGTTAAAAGACAGGTTGGACTAACTAGGTACTATCAAGCTGAAGTCAAAGTGACTGAAGGAGTTGATGATGGTGAAGTGGAACCAAATATAGATATTAAAACAGAACAGGAGAAAGACCACGATTTGAAGCCAATAATTGATTTTCTACAAGCAAGTGTTTTGCACCCTGCTTGGGAGAAGGTGTCTAGCTTAAGCCCTGTGACAAAGAACTATTGGGCACAATGGGACCAGTTGAAGCTTGGAGATAGGAAAGTGATGACCTGGCAAAGAGTATTACCGAGAAAGTTACGGAAAGTTGTGCTGCGCCAATCCCATGGTAGTTTAACAGGAAAACATCTTGGAGTTAAGAAGACATTGAGTCACCTATGGCAGATATTTTACTGGCTAGGTATGAGGCAAGATGTGGAAGAATGGTGCAGGACCTGCAGTACATGTTGTGCTAAAAGGAAACCCAAGCATAAGGGACGTGCTCCAATGAAGTTACATTAAGTTGGCACATCAATGGAAAGAGTAGCCATTGACACTGCTGGTCCTTTGCTCCAAACTTGTGCTGAAAACAGGTACATTTGTGTGGTGATGGATTATTTCACCAAGTGGCCTGAGGCATATGCAATATCAAATCAGGAAGCTACAACTGTAGCTTTGGCTATTAGTGACTTCTTCAGGTGTGGTATGCTATACGAACTGCATTCAGATCAAGGCCATAACTTTGAATCAGCTGTGTTCCATGAATGTAGCAAGTTATTTGGGATATGAAAGACCAGGACAATGCCACTTCACCCAGAGTCTGATGGAATGGTAGAAAAGTATACTTGGACAGGAATTGGCAAAGTTTTGTAATAGCTGCTAAGATGACTGGGATGTCTTACTCCCTCCACTGTTGGTGGGCTATAGAACAGCAGAGCATGAAGCCACTGGATACACTTCAGCAAAGCTGATGTTTGGTTGGGAACTTCGGTTGCCAGTGGATCTATTAACAGGACTCCCACCTTAGGAAGAGTTGCCTGAAAATGTGTCAGAGTTCGTGAAAATGTTATCTGAAAGGATAGATGATATTCATCATCAAGTGCATTCAAACTTGAAAACGTCTGCTGATTCCATGAAGCTATGTTATGATAAGAGATCTACTGAAGTCAACTTTGTACCAGGAGACAAGGTGTGGTTGTATAATACCAGGAAGACCAAAGGGAAGTCTCCTAATTTGTCTTCTTCATTGGAATGCCCATATGACATTGTGGATTGTCTCTCATACATGACTTTTTGAATAAAATAGTGGTCAGCGAGGTAAGCCAAAGGTGGTGCATGCCAACAGGCTTTGACATTAACATGGTCCAGGATATTTCAGTTGGAACGAAGTGAACAACAGAACAAAAG